TTCCATGCTTTGCTGACTCTGATACAGGTAATCAGCTTTTATAGTGTGAAATGTTATATATAGGATACAGTTCATACCCACTAGAGACAAGCTGACAGTGCCAGATAGATTATCTATTAATGCACACAGATATATTGAATAAAACTTAAATAACATTGCTGACATGTGTATGCAACATTGTTTTTATATTTTGTAGGTGTAGGGGTGGAAGCCTCAGAAAGAGATGCTCTAGAGAAAGAAGAGGACACTGCTGAGCGGGACAAAGATGTAACAGAAAATGAATGTGAACCTGTGGAAAATAGTATGGATGACAAACTTGGGTTAGGACTGGGTTTGGGTATTGGACCACCTCCTCCATCTGAAAGGTGGCTGCCTCCTTCTCCACTGTACAGTGCTCCTTTCCTCAATGGCAGTCCACAGCCCGGAAGCCCCCAACCATCGCTAGGTACACAGCAGGGTCCTCTGGAAGCCCCACCACGCAGCTCCTGGCTAGAAGATGAGCTCAGAGGATTAGGGGAAGCAGCTATTCAGTTAGGTAACCATGTGGAAAAAAGTTTAAGAGAATTTGGTGAAGGTTTCAGGGAAGACATGAAAACACTTGTTGCTTCTCAAGAGGCTCTGGCTCTGAGTCTGCAACAGAATAATGTCCTTCTGCAAAGACTGCTGGGAGTTCTGGAGGCTCAGCAGCCACCACCACAGCAACAACAACAACAGCGTTTACAACAATCACATCCAATATCAAAGCAACACTTACAGACTCCATCACAGCAACTTGAACCACAACAGATTATTGAGACGCCTCAGCAATCACAAGCCCAGCATAATCAAACTCAAAAGCAGCAACCTCAACACTCATCTCATTCACCAATGGCAGTTACAGCAGCTGACATGCATGGCACCTTTTCGTCGGATTCGCTCACAGAAGAAGACAGGAGTGGACACAAGCCACGGCGAGGAAAAGTGTCTGATCACAGGCGCAAAAAACGTCGATGAGCAGGAACAAAAACAGAACTACTGTACTTAAAAATGTGAAAAAACAAGTACCCACTCTTTTATAAATACCTGAGTGAAACTACATAAACTGACTTTGTTATTAGTTCAACTTATTAATGCCAGTCCTTAGCAAGTGAACTAAAGTTGATGATACAATAATAAATTGGACAATAGCCTTAATATTAGCTCTTTTATTTATAGCATAAGGGATGTGCTAGACTTTGTCTTTCTACAGTGACACAGCTACAGGATGTATGAAATTAATGTGTAATATGCATGTAATAATACATGCTTTGCAGTAGACTTGTCAAGCTTACAATGTTACTTACTAGTTCAGCATTGACAATATCAACATAATATAACTTCATAGTACTTGTAAAATACAATGGTATGTGCATATACATTATAATGTTAAGTAACAATAACTTGGAAATGTATGCTTTTTAACAGCCTCACAGTGCATTCACTAAAATGCCAAACTGCTTTGTTTTTAGACAAAATGTAACATCCTCCAGATACAAGTGGGATTTGTCTTCCTTGTTTATTTGCCAACAACACTATTTATTCTGCTCTTGCATGCAGTAGGCTATGGTATGGTGTAGAATTTGGGGGTAGATTAGCATAATTTTTCCACCACTTGTGTTTTATAATTAGCTACTGTAATGTCATTAAAGTCAATAAAATATAAACATAAAATTCACAAGGACATTCATAAAGGAACCGTCCGTTACTTAAGGTCCGATATAGTCTAATAATCATTGGCCAACCATCGTCAGAACCTATAGGGCTATTACTGCAACAAAATGAAGTATTTTATTTTGAAAGGTGTCACCGGAACTAATTGAGTTTACATTTTTACCACGCTTTTACGATTTGGATGGGAGGTGCATGTGTAGAATATGGCGACCGTAGAGTCAACAGACTCTGCAAAAACAGAGAATTCCTTTTCAGATCAATTCGAGCCGATGGACACGCTGCAACCTTCGGACACGCTCGCGTCTGTGAACAGAGAGACTTTGGGACATAAAGATGAGAGCACGGCAGAAGACAAAACACATAGTCTGAGGTTCGTACACAAATCCATTGCTGCCACATCCGTGGTTGCCGCTACCGACATCCCCGCCTGCACGGCCCATTCCGACGATAAGGTCCAGCCCAGAGCAGAGGCAGACAGCACCACAGGGAATTCACCCGCAAACCACAAACCGGTGACTGAAAATGGAGCGTGCGAGCTGAATTCACTAATATGGTCTGAAAGCGAGGACTACACTGAAGAGGTGCGTTCACCTGAGGAAATGCAAAGTTCTGAACAAGGTATGCCAGTAGCCTTGATGGAAATGCCAACCCATTACTTTTGAATGCTGTCAATCACTTTTTGCAATGCATGGGGTTAAGCTCCCTCTTTTGTGATATGATATGATGACTTTGGCCTATTCAAAAGATTGTTAATTTTGCCTGTTCAAAAGACTGGAATTTGAATGGCCTTTGAATTCATATTTTGGTTACCATAGTGCTTTTTCATTTGCAGATCTCAGCCCTATAAACAAGAGTGTTGGAGAAGGTAATTGTTCAACCAAAATGACCAGTGCAGCGAGTGAAATGGAGATTAATCAACCAGAAAACTCCCAGGAGAAGAGGAGCACAGAGGAAGAAATGTCATTGGAGCAGAAAGAAGAAGCTAATGGCAAAGAGGAGGAGGCAGAGGAGGAGGCAGAGGAGGAGGCAGAGGAAGAGGCAGAGGAAGAGGCAGAGGAAGAGGCAGAGGAAGAGGCAGAGAAAGAGGCAGAGGAAGAGGCAGAGAAAGAGGCAGAGGAAGAGGCAGAGAAGGAGGCAAAGGAGGAAGGAGAGGAAGAGAAAGAGGCAGAGAAGGAGGCAGAGGAGGAAGGAGAGGAGAAAGGAGCGGAAGAGAAAGAGGCAGAGGAAGAGGCAGAAGCAGAGAAAGAGGCAGACAAAGAGGATGATATGGAGCCATCCACAAAACAAATGAAAAGACGTATGGTGTGTAAGGAGTGTGGCAAGATCTTCAACCGACGAGAGACCTTCAACTTGCATCGCCATTTTCATTTGCATGAAGATGAGCTCAAACCTCTCACCTGTAAGGAGTGTGGCCTTACTTTTCAACAACGTAGTAGCTTTATTAAACATAGAAATGAGCATAAAGAAAAAGAGGCTGAACGATTAACAGTAAAAAAAGGAGGGAGCAAAAAGGAGCAGAAGAACTTTCAATGTGCCGAGTGTTCCACAGTGTTCCCAACAGTGGAAAAATTAAGGTTACATAAGTGCAGTTATTCAGATGATATACTTTTTCACTGCCCAATTTGTCGTCAGGAATTTAAACATAGACCATCTATGCTTAGACATATACTGTCTCACTCCCATGAAAAATTTCAGTGTGCTGAGTGTGATCAAACCTTCCCTAACCCGACGGCATTGGGTGCCCACCAGTTTGGAGCCAGCCATGGAGTTCTCAAACCGTATGAATGTCCTGATTGTGGTATGGTTTTCAAGCACTACTCTCTCATGGCAGAGCATCGTCTTAAGCACGCAGAGAGGTCATCCTTATTTCAGTGCAAGGTCTGTGGTAAGTCCTTTAAGTACAGCAGCCTTTTGCACCAGCACCAATATCTCCACACGGGACAGAAACCTTTTCGCTGCTCTCAATGTGGGAAAACATTTGCTTTTGCCCAGAATTTGAAGGCTCACTGCCGGCAACATTCACTGGGTATAATTCCTGCTACTATAACAGAGAAGACAAAACATTATCTCCCTACTTCAGGACATGCACTGGTGAAAAGATCTGAAAAAGAAAATGTATTACAAAACAAGGATGTACCACGCACCTATAAGTGTCCACTTTGCACCCAAAACTACTCGACACCCGCCAATTTAAGGACCCATTTGTGCACTCATGAAGCTGAATATGAAATGATGGACAGAACCAGGTCACCGAAGGAACCACTGAAGTGGGACAAAGCACACAACTGCCCTCACTGCCCCAACATCTATAGTGATGAGTTGAGTTTAAAAATGCATATATCTAGTGCTCATAAATTGGATTCACTAAATAATATGCCAATCCTACCCTCAAAAACCATTCCATCTCAAAGCAATGATAATAAACTAGAAAATGTTGATGAAGTTAAGTCATTTACATGTCCTGAATGTGGTAAATCTTTTCGCCATCGCTCAGTGTTGGAGTTGCACATGCGTATACACCCCAAGGACAAACCATACCAATGCAAAGTGTGTGGTAAAGGCTTTAGATTTAGTAGCTACTTACAGCAACATCTGATAATGCACACGAGTAAAAGGCCACACAAATGCCCAGATTGTGGTAGAGCTTTTGCTTTTTTGCAGAACATGAAAACTCATCAAAAGCTACATCAGAAAACATTTCGTTGCAGTACTTGTCTCAAAGGATTCACTGATGAAGCTCAACTGAAACAGCATATGCTTTCTCATAAAGGTGACAAACCTCACAGGTGTAATATCTGTGAAAAAACCTTTGGATTAGCCTATCAGCTCCTTGACCACATGAACACTCACACAGGTTTTAGACCTCATCGCTGTGAGGTGTGTAACAGATCTTTTACCTGGTTAAGTAGCCTACTGGCACATAGGAAAACTCACAAACGTCAGAACCAAAATAACTCATTGCAGATGAAGAATAGGATGAGAGAAGTGGGTACTAGCATTGGGGACACTTTAGGCATGTCTAGATCATTTGCAGGATCAGGGATGGTTGGCCCATCTATTTCGTCTAATATTCCAGTAGGAGATGCTGAGTTGCACCCAATAATTGACCAACCACCTCTCACAGCTGGTGTGGATCAAAAACCCCGGCAGCTGAATGAACCAGTGTTACCAGAGCTACAACCTGAAGTAATGCCTGCCCCATCTGTGCAGCAGATTTATGTAGCTTCACAGACAATGTCTGGACAAACTATAGAGCCATCACATATAATGGAAACTTCACCCTCCTTTACCGGCGCTGGCTCTTCATTTGTGCCAAAAAAATCAAGCCCTTCATCAGCAGCTGAAATTGAGCAACACAGGCAACTAAAAGCCGTTGCATGGAGTACTCCTTCCACAGTAGTTTCCACAAGTTCTTTGCATTCTGAATTCATTTCTTCTGGCTCTTACATAGATGGAGCAGCACTGTGGAGTGTAAGAACTGCTGCACCAAATCCAAATTCACACAACTCTCCAAAAAAACTGGGTCAAGAGGTGCAGCTACCCACATGGCAGGCTTCTCCAGTGCCCTCACAAACTAATCTGTCTTCTCCCCTCAAAAAAGAAGAGCTTCGCTCACGGGACATGGGCAATACACAGGTGCAGACGATTGGTCAAACAGAAAAGTCATGGGTGTCAGGTTTTTCTAATGCGTCTTTAGCACAAATGCCCCCTCATGGACTTGGAGCTCGATGGGACATACAGACATCTCCTGCCTTGCAAAAAACTTTAAAATCTCCTGACCGCTTGGTGAGTAACCCAGATTTTCCATTGCAGCAAAAGCAGGTGTCTCCGAGCTGGGCTGGGGTTCAAAGCCAGACTACTACCGTTCCCATATCGATTCAGTATGAACCTCATCGATTTGGTCAGACCATAAGCGCACCAATGTGGGGTTTTCAGAGTAACCCAGTGTCTGCTCAGACGATGCTCAAACCAGGAAATGTACAGGAACTGCAACAGCAACAGGCAATGGCAACAGGCGCTAAATTAATCATAAACCAGGCACCTTCCTTCTTCCCGCCTCTTGCCACTCTCTCCCCCATGGGTCTTCCAGCCTCGCACACTCTCCATTCAGTCCCTGTGGGTGCACTCCCAAGACCTCCACACCCAAATCTCTTTTTCCCGCCACAAGTCTCTCAGGCCCTGTCTATATCCCAACTTCCTCCTCAGCGAGAGGCTCACAAACTTGGCCCTCGTTTGTCCTTTCCACCTGATCGTCTCCACCAATGCATGATCTGTGGCTGTAGTCTGCCCCGAGAGGTGGATCTACAAATGCACTACATGCAGCATGCCCAAGGAGAAATATAGCTTTTAATGCTAATCACAAATTATGCCTGTTCAGATTTTTATTTTTATTTTTTTTACTGACGTTCAAGTGAAATGATGTCATGACTCTTTTCTATTTAAACTTGTGTTTATTTTTCTCATGTATTGTAGGGTTTTTGTTTTCCTTTAGTCATTTCACTTACCAAGAATATTGAATTTCAATAATTTGATAAACTTTATTCTTGTCAGTCTGTGTGCCAGTGCCTTTAATTATTGACATGTCTACTGTATTTGTATGCTAGGCAGATCCCATGTTTTGTGTCATTCCTAAAAGCTCAGCTATGTAAAACAGACAGAAATGGTATGATGTGATGAGTATGTGTAATATATTTCATTTTGTTTGCAATTTTTTGTGTATACAAATTTCAAAGCTTGGTTTTTCAAACAATTGCCAATTAATTTAAAGACTGTGATATTTGTTCAAATGCTGTATATTCTGCAAAGATACTGTTTAATTCATCAATTCATTCATCTGTCTACCTCTGTAAAAGTTCATGGAGTGTTGTTTCATATAAGTAACAAGTTGTGTATCCAGATCAAACATAAATAAAATATTAATTTGTGTACATTTGTCTTGTACAACTGGAGTAAGAATAGACCAGATAATTTCTGGTGGTTTGAAAAAGAAGCGGCAGCCTATCTCTAGATCTCACTCAAGTTGCAGTAATCACTGAAATAGCTTTAAGCAAAAGTTATGACAATGCATTTAGTTATAATTGATTTGTAATCACGTTATCTACAACACAAAGATAGAAAGTATAATAAGATAAGATCTATTATTAACATGAATATGAATATGAATAATATATATATTTTTGTTGTAGATCTATGAACACTAAACACATCATGTAGGTGTAGTAGTCTACAGTAGAGGGCGATAATGCGCCTAATAATCTGGTCCGCAACGGTCAATTCAAAGGGAAGAAGGAGCCGGAGCTGCAGAGAGCCGCAGGAAACAGCTCCAACTGCGAGGATAAAGAGCTCTGGAACTGTAAGTGATTTGCTGCCCAAGGCATACACTGCACTCTTATTCTGTTAAATGTGAATAACGATCCTACGTGTGTTTGTTCTGTAGGCAGGGCGTTTCAATACAATGATCCTCACACCATTGCACCGAAGCTAGCTAACACGGTCTTAGCAACGGGCTACCAAGATGGACGAGGCTGCGGTGGGACTTATTGAAGAGGAGAGCGGACAAAACGTGGTCAGTCAAGATGATCATGAAGAAGATCAAACATCTGGAAACGAGCAGCCATCTCCTGAAAACAGCACTGAAAGTAAGAGAACAGATTTGTTTACAAAATACTCTCGCACTAAATTAATTACAACCTCAAAGACTCGCTTCTTGTTTTTTCCATGTGTTACTTGTGTTTGTCATGTGCACCGTCCCGTACAAAGGAAATCAGGAAAGTTGCTTAGTGTTCGGTTATTGCATAAGTTTATATTTATTCCTGTAGTCTCTTGATAGGTTACTGTTAAAGAAATTACCATTTTTAAACTTTTGAAATATTGTATCTTTCAATGGTAGCACACGAACAATTGTTCTTCATATACTAAAACAACCTTTCCTTTCATATACACAATTATTTACGTATTTCACAGTCTGCTAATAACAAGCACGTAAAAAAATAGTCAGACCTCTTATATATTTCTACTGCTGTTTGCAAGGCATGTAATAGTAATGGGGGAATTATTTATGGTTAACAAATGAGTTAACTTTCAAGGACTATAAACGCCAGTTGACTTCCTGATAGACAAGAAACTATGTTTGTGCCTTTCAAATTACGGTATGCATTTCTATCATCAAAATTGCATTATATGACAGTTACAACCACCCAGCAACCAGTTGCATTCATTTGCCTTTTATGTAGATCAGGGGTCTCTGACTTGTAGCTTGGAGCTACTAGGAGCTCTCCAACCCCCCTAACATTTAGGAATTATACATATGATATAGAATTTAAATTTGATTCATCACACATCCATTATCATTTTATGTATTTATATGCACAAAATTGTGCCCTTAAAATGGATAATGTTTTATGTTTTATAGGTGTTTTCTGTATTCATCTAAGGCTAGCTGTCATCATTATATTGTGACTGCATTTTTGTTTTACAAAAGTAGCTCTCCTGTGTAAAAAGGTTGGAGGAGTTTGTCTAGATCATATATTTATGAAATATAAATATGCTATAAACTTATTCCTTATTTTAACTTTGAAGAAAAAATGGTTCTGATTTCTTTTTCACCTCTTTTTCCAGGAGATGGAGTTTTCTGCTGTCAAAAGTGTGGAGATGCCTTCAGAGAAGAGGCCACTTACCTAATGCACCTTCAACAGCATTCCCAGGAATCTGACAACACCTGTCAAGACACCCCGTCAACTTATGAGAAAGATGCTGAGATGAACCATGAGACAACAGTGCATGATTTGCATTCACAAGATGATACAGAGAATAGTGAAGTGATTCCAAATGACTTGTCTGAACAGATGGATACTGGGATAAATCGGCAGCAGCCCTATCAATGTGAAGAGTGTGGAAAATCTTATGAAGTGTTTGGATACTTCCTCAACCATCAGCGATCTCACAGACAAGCCTCAAAATCAGTTTTTCACAACTTGGAACATTTGCAGAAGAAGTCATTTCAGTGCGAGTTTTGTGGAAGGAGTTATTCTCGTGCCTCAGCTCTGGACGCTCATCGTCGGTGTCATGAGGGAAAGTTGGTGAAGAAAAGCAGGAATTCACCTGAATCACTTGGCTCTGACCATAGAACAGAGGACAAGTCAATGGAAACTCCCACCAGGACTGTAAACTTGTATGGGTGCTCGTGTGGTAAAACGTTTGCGACCCTTTTGAGGTTGAAAACCCATAAACGATTTAGCCGGAATGGACGTTGTACACCAGAGGAATTGTTTGATAAGCAAAAGAGAAGTGATGGTTTTCAGTGTACCCAATGTAATAAGACATTTAGTGGTTATACTGCTCTTGCCAGCCACGTGCGGTGGCATAATCCTGACAATGTTAGCAAATTTCGCTGTGAAGAATGTGACAAAACATTCAAAACTTTAACTTTTTTTCAGCGACATCAGCGACTTGCACACACTCAAGAGATTGCATCAAAATCATTTCTACACCAAGTGTGCCAGCTACAAAAAAAATCATTTGAATGTAAAGTGTGTGGGCTTAAGTTTTCCAGGGCTTCGGCTCTACACTCCCATGAACTAAATCACAGTGATGTTTATAATGAAACAGTGCTACCTCAAACGAATACAGAGATGAAATTGGAGAGTGAAACCACTAAACAAACTGAGGGCCTTGATAGTCTGTTCCAAGCCCCTATTCTTGGAGACGGGAATGTAATTGACACTGAAGATGAGGAGGAGAGCCTTGAACCTGGGGACTTGATTGTGAAAGTGATCAGTAGTAGTAGTTCAAGTGAGTCTGAAGATAATACGGAGCAAGATGAAAATTCTGACTTGGAGCTTGTCTGTGAATCTGATTATGAGGTAAGAGAGGATGGGGACTTGGCTATTCACCAGAAAGTGGTGTCAAAACCTAACATGAATTTAAAAATTGTACAGATTGACTATGGGGAGCCCGGGCCAGCAACGGAAGACAGACATGACTGCCCAGATTGTTACCGATGGTTCACAAATCCAGTATCTCTGCGTGTTCACAGAATGTGGCACGACGTTCGCAGAAGAAGACAGGTGACTCAAGGTCAGTCAGAAACAATTGAACCTCTTGATTTAAGCTCCTGTGAAACCATAAGCAAGCATTTTCAGGAAGCAAAAACCATGATTTTTCCAAATACAGCAGACTTTGTTAACTATGTTGACTTTTCCTCTTCACAAAACAAGGACAGTTTAGATTCAAAGAGGGAGTACAATCCCAAGAAAACTCTGTTAGGTCCCAAAATTTACCATTGTGAACAGTGTGGGAAGGGATTCTGGTCTTTAGGGGCCTTTTCTCATCATAAGTCAAGTCCCATGGAATGCACAGAATTGAGACTGAGAAAGGGTTTTGGGGGACCATTTACTAATGGACACTCCCGCACAAGTTTTAAAGTTGCATGCCCTGTGTGTGGCAGAAAGTTTCGTCACAAAGGGATTATGTCCTTGCATATGCGGAAACATGAAAATGGAGATCACAAATGCGACATCTGTAACCGGTCTTTTCGTCTCCTTTCTGGCCTTCTCCGCCACCGGGCTGTGCATAATAACCAGCTACTACCACCACCAATCAAGTCTTTTCAGTATCAGGTTGAGCAGTTGCAAAAGAATACGTACAGCTGTCCGGACTGTGGAAAGCGTTTCTCGCGAGCTAAGGCCCTACAGTTTCATATGAAGAGCCATGGTTATGAGAGTGGGTACTCGCCACCTTCTCACAGATCTGGAGACCCTGTGGAGGACCTCCAGTGCCCGAGCTGCTTTGCTCTTTTTAATAAAAAGTCCTCCCTACGAGCGCATAGAAAACTTTGCACTAAGAGAGAGAACAGTACACAGCCATCAGATAAAGACTCAGTTGGTGAAATTCAAATTGAGAGTAAATCTAATAACCAGAAGGAAAACCATTTAGAAACTGATAAAACCGATGAGTTAAAATACAAATGTAAAGTGTGCGAGCGAAGCTTCTCAGTGGTTGGAGCATTAAATTTTCACAAAAGAATTCACACAGATAGCCACAAAGCATTAGCTAAAGCAAAAGCTTTGGTTAAGAAATCAAAAGTAGATGATTCAAATAAAGGTATGTTTAGCTGTACAGACTGTGGACGACGCTTTGTCTCTAACTCAGCCCTTGGCTCTCATAAAAGGTGGCACAGAAACAAACCATGTACTACTCCCTCCCCAGACTCAGAGGAGATGGCCCCAGATTCTAAGAAGTCAGACTCTGGCCCATTCAAATGTGACAAATGTCAGAAAAAGTTTTTTAACCTTTATGTGCTTCAGCGCCACCAGTTAGTTAACTCTCAGTGTCAGATCAATGAGCAAAAACCAGTTCCTGCTGTAACTGTTGGGAATAAAATCCCAGGGGAACCTGACACATTTTCCTGTACTGAATGCACCCAAAACTTTCAGACAAGTTCACAACTGGATGATCATATTAAAAGTGTTCATTGCAACTCTTTATTGCAAGATAAATTGGGTAGTTCAGGTGACGGTCTGAAAAAACAGAGTAGTGAGTCTAATTTTCAAACTATTAAACTGTATAAACTGCCACGTTGTCCACTTTGCTCCATGTCATTTAGAAATATCAGAGGCCTTCGGGCTCACAAGTGGCAAGCGCATTCAGAAGGCAGGAACAAAGGCACTAAGAAAGAGAGTAATGAAGCACAGGAGCAAGCTGAATGTGAGAGTTCGGAGGAAACTAGTCCAGTTGAGACAAAAAATACAAAAAAGGAAAGTACGCTTGTTCAAACCATTTCAAACGTCAATATTGGGAGTGATCATGATTCTCATAGTGCCACTTTAAAAGTTAAAAAAGACATTACCCAAGATATTAGCATTATTTTACCTGAAAATCCTTCAGAACATGCAGCCAAATTCTTCAAGTGTGACAAGTGTGGGAAAGCATTTTCAGCTAAAGAGCAGTTGGAAAACCACAAAACTAAGGCAAAAAGTCGACCGTTTAGATGTGCGCTTTGCTGCAGTGGCTTTTGGACAGAGAATCAGCTGCAGCAGCACTTCATTTGGCATGACAAAATTCGGGGTAGTCTTCCGAATGAACTTCGCCTTAGAATCAATGCCGCTACAGCTATAGCAGCTAGTGTTTATTCTGCAGACAGAGCTATTTCAACTCTTAATGATCCAGTGCTGATTTCTGATGATAAATCACTCCATGAGTGTCAAAACTGTGGCAAAGGCTTTTTATCTCCAACGTCACTTGAAAAACATAAAAGGGAGTATTGTAACACTGGTTCCTACCACTGCTCCTCTTGCCCAAGCACCTTTAGTGACATACAGGATCTCATAGAGCATCATCAGGAGTGTGCTGCTGCTGTTCAGACAGGGGGAGTGTTACTGCACCTGTCTTGAATGTTGAACTGCCTTTTCTCACAAAAAAAGCACTACAGTGAACACATGTTTTTTGGACTATAAATGCTGATAAGAACTGAGGACTGTTCTTTCACATGTATTTTGTTTGAAAAGTTTATGTAAAATGTAAACACTCCTTTAGTGCTTATGTGTACTTATCTCCCTCACATTGGCTATCTTGTTTTGAACACAACTCAAAATAGACCCATTCATTGTCTGTATGACAGTAAAAGCTTTTGTTAGAAAAATTAATGCATGTTTGTCATTTAATGACTTTGATTGACCAGATCGGCCTAATATGGTTCTAAGTAAATGGCAACATAAACAACAATATAACGTTCAGAATACACAATTTCTCATTTTATTAAATCACCAAATCAAGTAAAACGGACATGTTTTGATTGCCTTGTAGTTTTAGGGGCCCTCATTAATGATTAATGAAGACACGCTTTCAATCAAATTGCTTTGTTGAAGTTTTTGTTGACAGATCTTTTTTGTGATGAAGCTTGTCTTTCTTCAGTGATACTAGCTTATGTGACACTTCAGATTGATTTGTATTGTTTTCTTTAGATGACCAAGAAAATGTTGTTTCACTTGTATGACTTCTGATCTGAGAAAAGGTGCTGTAAATAGTGTATCAATAAATAGTGCTATATATGCTGAGAGACTGTGTTTAGTCTTGTTTTTTGATTATTAATACATGAAGCATTAGTAGTTTAATTCTCTACCAGTATTTCTGTCATAAATTTACTAAACTATTCATGTCATATTGTTAGATAAAAAAAAACATTCAGTGAATTCATCATATGACAATCTCTTACTGCTAAATGTTACCATATTGTTATAACACATGATTATCTCTCTTGCAGCTCAGCGGCGTGCCTCAGGGCACCTTGAAGAATCCCAGGAAGCTGATGAGGGCAGTGGGTCTGATGAATCTGCTCTAAATGAGTCTGACATTTCTTCCCGGACATTTTACAAATGCAAACTTTGTGACAAATTGTATTTCTACCTGCATGCTTACAAAAAACATAAGAATATGCATGAATTGGAGCGTGTACATATGAATAATCCATTCGACTGTCCTGTATGTGGATGTGCATTTCCTACACAAGATGATTTGATCAGCCATCGGAAACTGACCAAAACGTGCAGCTCAAACCTCAGATGTGATCCGTGTAACAAAAACTTTGCATCAGCCCTTTCATGGAGTGGCCACTTAAAGCTCCATGAAGAGAGGCCGTTTTGGTGTTTCACCTGTGCAAAAGGATTTACTGACCAGAGTATATATAAAAATCACATGTATTTGCACAAATGTAGGCGGTATAGTTGCACCGTCTGCAACAAGCGCTTTTTGTTTATGAGACAGTTAAAAGATCATTACAACCTCCACACAGGTGAAAAGCCACACATATGCACATATTGTGGTAAAGCCTTCTCACATTCTGCAACTTTGTATGCACATAAAAAGACACATCATATGATCAGTCCTTTTAAATCAAGACTCAAGTCTGGTTGGACATCAAAACAAAATATCCATCGCCTCAATAAGGATGAGAAGAGACAACTGCAGACCACATTGCAGACGCTGTCAAAAGCAGACCCCCAGAGTCAAGCTGATCATACTCAAAAATCTGGCACACCTGGATCCAAATGTTGGGAATGGGAATGTTGTGATTGTGATATGGGCTTTGATGAAATTTCCCAGCTGCATAGCCATTATATCCGGCATGCAACCGGAGAGATTCCAATGTTATATTTGTAAGTCTATGGTGGTTATTCTGTAATATTAGATGAGAACATATTGGCTACGATTCTAACTTTTTTAGAAATGGGTATGATTTTATTTCTGTGTTTATATAAAGCTGCAATTCTGTAACAAAACTAAATAAAATTAACAGTATGAAAGCTGTTTCGTTTCATGGAACTTGTGTGTAGAATGACAGGTGACCGTTCTGTTTTCAAAGTTTTCTGAAGTTTTAAAATGTATACACAGTCAGTTAGTCTATGCCTAGCACTAGCTTTAAACTTTCTACCCGAGAAACTACAATTCCCACAATCCCTCGCACTGTTATCATGCCTGACGTCACAGGGTCTGCAGCGGCGGCTCAGTTGCTTTGTGCAGGAACCATGGGCAGAGCAGAGCCGAGGGATGATAGGATGTTTGGGCGGTGTAGTGATCGACTGAATATAGCCAGGTATCTTATATCTTCATTTTTACATATTTGATCATGTGTTTTTAACCCATTTTCCTACCAATTCCTAGGTCGAGTTACAGACTCGGTATCATCTCGGAAGTGCTAATAATTGTGACATTACCCGCAAAACAGCTAACAGGCTAACAATTGTAACGTTGAAAGAGGTGTACAAGATTATTATTTATGTAGTACGGTAATGTCCATATAACCTTTGCAAAATACTACGGGTTTCTGTGGAATAGTCTTTGTTTCCATTTATAATACAACTGGGTTAAGTCCATTCATTGCTTACCAGCTGTCGCCTCCTCTTGACTAACAAAGGCGCCTTTTGAAACTTTTTAAAGCGATCTCGCACATTATTAGTTAATTTAAACCAACATGTAGCAACACATATACTATTAATTATGTTTTAACAGTAATTCTGTTATTTAATTTGAACATTTGTTTTATAGGGTGATGCACTTTTGAGTTACTAAGAAGCTGGGCAAGATGCAGACTTCAGTCCAGATGAATTGTGGTTCTAACGCAGACACCATGCTACAAGAACCAAATCTCGTGGAGGAGGACAATCTATCTGCAGTAGATCATGATGACCCTTTAGTCATTGCCCTTGAAGAGGTAGAAGAACACACATCAACAGGGACCCTTGAAGAAACTACTGAAAACACGGTCTTTACGCCTTCAGAAAACTCGTCAGAGCCCAGTTTGGATTCACAATCGACCAGCACTCCTCCTCGTCCTGACTTGAATGTTAAAAATGTTCAGGCAAAACCTAAAAAACAGGATAAAGCTGTGCGAGCTGAAAAGAAATATGTTCCATCTAAAAAAGCTATGACGGACCCACTAAAAATTGACATGTCCAAACCTCTGGCCACTCCTCTCACTTGTGAGTAATTTAGTTAAATTATTACCATGAAAGAATTGTTCATGCCTCCAACAGCTGTGGTCATTTGTGCATCAAGTGTCTATAATTAAGAATCTGTAACAATGTATAGGACTATGGAGAAAAGCAGGCAACGATGAATTAATGAATGTTGTAAAACATTTTTTAAATTTATAAAACAGTGTCCAAATGACTACCTTTGAAACATTATCTAAGATTCATAAAAGATATTGGTTACACCTGCAGTGTAGTCTTTTTGGCCCTTTCACTGCAATATTTCCAACAGGTTTACATATCTATCAATCTATCAATCAGTCAAACTTTATTTGTAGAGTGCTTTTCATACAAAAATGCAACACAAAGCGCTTAAACATAGAACCAGATGGTGCTGGTGATTAAAATTCTTAAAAGTCTTAAAATTAAATATATAATAGAGTAGATAAGTAGATATTTTATGCCACAGTATAAACAGTAGTAAGTACAGTTGAATAGTAAAACACATTGACTTTTAGACCAGTTTAATGTTGAGCTTTTGAAATCGCATGTTGTGTTGTGTTAACAGGAATTGTCTTTACTGTGATTTTGATTTGCACCCCTTTTAAAATTGACCAGTAACACATTTTGTCTTCTTTCTCTTAGCATCCCAGATTTCTCTTCAGTGTATTGAATGCCACATAATATTCAGTGACCACAAGAGCAAAGAGCGTCACCTGAAGTCCAGTCATCCTGCTGAATATGAGCAGTCCATTCTGAGGAACGCCCTCTTTGCCTGTTACGTTTGTGATCGCCATTTCACAAACTCTACTGAACTCATGGCCCATCAAAAGACTCACATTGAGAGAAACCCTTTTAAATGCCCTATCTGCGCCCAGACGTTTAGTAAATTGTCAGAGCTCTCAGTTCATAAAAAGGTTCATTTCGGACAGCATGGTTATACCTGCACACAGTGTGGGAAACCATGTAAAACGTTGACGTTACTCAAGTACCACTGTCGCACGCACACCGGAGAAAGGCCCTATGTGTGCAAAGAGTGTGGGAAGAGGTTCACCATGCCCAAAGCCCTGCAGAAACACATGGAGTCCCACTTACCAGAGGGAGCTCAGCCAAAGGAACAAGGTAAGGCAAGTTTGAAGGGTTTTGAAGTAATATAGATTTACTTAAAATATTTGTGTATGCATCTTTTATATTGAATGAGAATTGTACCTCCCTAGTGAGAATACAATGTCACTAGATTTATTGTTTTTGTAGAAAACCTGCAACCTGCAAGCTATGTAATTACATAAGACTACTGAAAAGTGCAACAACATTTTTGACAGAAAATTCATCACAACAGTGTTATTGTATAAAAATGTACAAACTATACACTATAATACTAAGTAAAAGAAAGTTGTTTGATCTCACTCTTGTCCAATCAGGTTACACCCCTTATATTAGTTTACATGAGAACCTTAAACACTTTTTATAATCAACTAAATTTAATTAAGCTAACTCTGTTTTTCCTTGCTAGGTGCCCCTTCAGCTGTTTACACCTGTTCCATTTGTAAAGCAACCTTCAAAACTACAAAGACAAGGCATTACCACATGAAGAAAAAGCACAACATCTCAAAATCAGCACTGACCAAAACAAGTGTACAACCGGTGAAGCAGTGTACACCCATCATTACTCCCATTTCAATTTCACAGTCGTCTCTTCTGCAAGTTGGACCTAATGGACCTTTGCAAAAAGTTGATGCCAACATTGACACTGAACAGCTTTGCAAATTAATTGAATCATTCGGAAATGTACAAAAAGTGAACCAGGTAGTCATTTTGGGGCAAGTACCACCTGACGCCCCGCCACTGGAAGTACAGCAAATTGCACAACCAGTTACTTTAAATATAGACACTCCTCAAACTGATTTTATGGACATAAACTCAAAGACTAATAACACCATTGAGGATCCAATGGAGCAAACCATTATCTTGGAGCCTATCACGCCTGATGGACAGCTTCTAAACCCTCCTTTTTCTGCTTTGGAGTCTAATTTAGGAGAGAATCCAGCAGAGGTAATTTTTCAGTCCATGGATACAGATCCGCATCTACAAACCGATGAAATAGTTTGTCATAACAATGTATTAGGACAAAATCTTGCACCGACACTTGATCAAACTATTGTTCTTGAACTCACTCCTGCGCTGACTCCAACTGCAGAACTGGAGCAATCGGAAAATGTACTTCAAAATGAAATCGCACCTTCCACATTTGTTCAAAATAATGAACTAGCCAATCCTCTTGATGAGACATCAATAAGTGAGCAGGAGACTAGCATGTCTGTTCAGTCGCTATTGTCTACGGTAGAGCTAGAAATGTTACCTTTACAAACGGACCAACACATCGGTCCAGTGTGTACGTTTAGTCCCCAAGAGACACTTCCTGAATACCAGAACGAAACTGTGACTCAAGACGAGACTGATTCTATGATGCCCACCAACTGTATTGATCTAAACGTCCAAAATGTTAGAGAAGAGGTGGTTAAAGCGTTTGAACAAACAGAAGAAGCAACTACAGAACAAATAGAAACAGATGAACCAAAAGCAATGAATGTAGCAGAGGAATTAGAAAAACAAGCTAATCATGATGAAGAGAAAAAAGAGGCAAAGGCAGTCAACACACAAATGAAAGCAAAGCAGGTAGAGCAGCCTAAAGAGATTCCCATAAATGTAATGTCTGCTCAAGAGCTGGTAAAAGTACGAAAAAGAAAACCACCTAAAGCATTTTTCTTTCAGGGATACATGCAGGAATTTGTGTCATCTGTATACGACGAATTCCCAAGTAATACTGCAAAACGTAAAAAAGCCAAAAAGTCTCATCTTGTTGTTAAATTTGGTCCTCCAAGTAAAGGAAAGCAAAGCAAAAAAAGTAGCAAGTCATCAAAGCAGCCAACTAAGGAAGATTCCAAAGAGAAATCGCCTAGTCAAAGTAAAATGCAGAAAAAGGGTAGGAAGGACAAAAAAGCTGTGAGCTCTGATTGTACTGCAGAGATAGAAGTACCTGCTTCATGTGAAGACAGTGAACAGGCATCAAAACAAAAAGAAGGTAAAAATAAGAAGAACAAGCAAAAGGCTGGAACAAAGAAGACTGAGAAGCACATTGGTGTAACCTCGCCTGTTTTAAAAAAGAAACAGAAGAAAATTATCCAATCTCCAAGTGTTAAGGAAAAAACTACAACAAATATTAAACAGAAAAATGGGGAAAAAACTAATGAGCAAACCACTCCACAATCAAAATCTGAATCCCCTGATAAAGCTACTTCTCACATACAAGATTCTTTACTGCTGCTGAAAGGACACAAACAGCCACAGCTCAAAGTCCACAAATTAGATCCTTTAAAGGCCTCTGGTAAAACACAAGAGGTATTACTAAGTGAAACCCAAACGTCCCCAAAGGAAAAGAACAGTCCAGCCAATCCTGCTTTGAACGAGATCTTGCCTGAGAACAAGAAAAAAGGAGGTAGAGCCAAGAAAGCACTCACATTATTGTCTTCTCTTCACACATCCAAAAAGCAAGAGGAAGCCTCTCCTCCTAAACCAAAACCTACCAGGAAGCGGAAAGCGTCGTCTAAAGTGGAGACTGAAGGAGTGATAACGTCAAAGAAAGCTATTGAGTGCAAAGATTGTGGGCAATGGTTCAGTGACGTTTCTTTGCTTCAAAATCACAAGGCCACGGTGCATATTGTAGAGAGTCCTGGCATTACATTTACAAATGGAAATCTTTTCGAAGGGGTGACAAGGATAGATCTTTACCAGCTGCCAAAACAAGTTAGTAAAGATGGAGAAAGTTTGAATACAGGTTGGGATACTGAACCTGAAATGACAGACTTAGACAGGGAACGTTGTGTTACTTTTCCAGATTTGAACACATCACCATCTTTACCTGTTCCTCCTTGTGACATTTACTATGATAAGGACAGAAAAGATATTGAGGAAACTACTGTGAAGGCTAGCCAATCTAATGTTGTCTCACCATCTCTTCAAATAGCAGTTAGCAGAAAGGAAAACAGCACTGATACGGAAATTCAAGCCACCACTTATGAAGATATTAAGGAGGACTTGCTTCTTGAGGTAGATCTGGTCACAGTTGGAGAACAAAGTGCCTGTCCATCGCAAGACAATTCACAAAACAAAGACATTGAACCTGTTACTGGCGAGAGTGAAAGAGCTGCTTCCAAACAAACAGATCTAACTTTACACACGGTTTCTTGCTCCACACATCAGCATGATATCAAGGAAGAAGAAGAGGAAACGGTAATTGAGAGAACTAAAACTGGCCGCAAAGGAATTACTAGTACTGAGCAGGGAAGTGAGAAAGAGATATCCAGTGAGGAGTCAGAACAGACAAAGCAAAATGACTGTGAGATACTATATGAAAGACCTGCTTTAGACTCCGTTTCGAACAATAACCAAGTTGACAGCCATCAAGTTCAGATCACAATTAAACCTGCTCAGAAAGATGTAGCCTCTGCCTCTGCACTGGACAGAAACATCACTGTTGACCAAGAATCCTGCAGCACTGAGAAGGAAGCAAATGAACAAATCCAACTAGAAGATGGTGACTGGGAAAGGGATCAGTCTCCAGGAATTGTACTGGAGAAAGTGGTAATATCAGCCCTTAATTCTGCTGATAAAGAGAAGAGCCAAACACAGGTATTGATTAGTAGTTCCATTCACCGCGTCTAATAGATCACCATTTCTAAAGTACGAGACTAACTTTAGAATAGAATAAAACTGATCAGGTAAACGTGATATAAACAACTATAGAAAACAGCATTATACATTTAGTTTTATTACAGATTAAAATGACTCAAATATGCCTCTAAAAGTCTCACAATTGTTATTTTTTAGTTGTGACAATTATATTATGACTTCTGTCTAATCGAATAACAATAAACAGTAAAGTTACATAAATATATGGTGAAGGACAGGTATAAAGTCTATAGTAAAACAGGTTTAACCGTATTTTTACATCCTCTTTTCTGTATATTTAGCATAATATCATTTTCTTTTAATTGGGTAGGATTTTGAAAATGAGAGCCAAGACATCAAGGTGGAGGAAAGCATTGCAGATTCAACACAAGGGGTCTCCAGATGTCCAAGTGCACAGTCATCACACCGTGACATAAGGGCTGTTCTTGTCAAAGAAGAGAGCAGACAGACCCCACAGAGAGGGGACCACATCCGCTGGAACGTAGAGCCAAACTCCAATTCCTCAAGTCCTGGTAAATATAAGACGTGTAAAACAATATATGGTAAAAAATAACACATTAATTCACTGATTTTATTCTGTTTTAAAAGAAGCTATGGTGACGACAGACAGTGCCATAGCTGCTCTAAACTGCAGCTCGAGTCAGTGCATATTCTACCCTGTCAAAGAGGAGGAGAGGGAGGTGTTAGTTGGAGCAGTTGAAAATGCCACTCCTGCATCATCAGAGGTTAACCATCAGCTAGAGCGTCATACTGTAGGTAAGTAATATGAATTCTAATATATTATAACATTTAAATTACTAGTACATTTTTGTTCAAAAAGAAAATGCATTAATTCCGAATCTGCTGGTGACAGATGATGATGGTTCTGCTCCACAAGAAGTGACATCACAACCAGGGCCCAATAATCTTAATGATGGACATGGTAAGTGTCAAGTGCAATGGGGTCCGGTCAAACGGTAACTGAGAGAAACAGGGGCAGATTTTTTACATTCATATAACTCTTGTTCAGAAACTAGAGGGACTATTGAAATAAGTAAAGTATTAGAATGTAGGAAAGAGTTAGCACTCCAACAGGGTAAAGTTAACCCTGCGATATTCTTTCAAGTTGTTGACAAAAAATTTTAAAACTCATCTTGGTAATGGAGGGAATGAAATATGCAGCACTTTTTGGGCAATAAATAGAAACAGCGATAATTGACAGAGGGAAAAGTAACGCAGAGAAAATTGTGCAAGCAAGTAGAAGGTGCATGATTTTGAATAATTTGTCAGCTTTTTTCTTCCAAATACTTTAATATTACTTCAAAATGAAAGGTAACTATTTCTATAAAATATGTCAGTCCTTCCAAGCAAATTTTTATCATTTTAAATACTTTTTTTTTTGTACCTTCATCAACAGTTCAAAGATCGAATACACAAGATATGATGAAATATATCACTTTATTTACATGATTTGCAGGTCTTTGAAATTTGGGAAATAATTTTTGTTCCATGTTGCATACATGGTATGTTTAAAATGTATGTAACTTTAGAACCAAAAATGGTATGGAAAAAAGGTTAAACAGTTTCATAAACTAGAGTACATATGCTATCTGTTGAATACATTTTTATATCAGATGCATTAACTTGAATTTTTGGCCTTGCTGTATACTTCAGCTTCACCGGGCCCATATGATTTAAGTGGTGAAATGATAATAATAATAATGCATTGGATTTATATAGGACCTTTAAAGTCAAACAAGGCACTTTACATTGAATTATTATTATTGTATTACATGTTGGTGGTAAGCTTCTATTGCACCCACAGCTGCTCTGGAGAAAACTGATGGAAACAAGGCTGCCAATCTGTACCATCAGCCAAAATCCCCACCATTTACTCATTCACACACTACATTCATACTAGGCAATGTGTGTGAAGTGTCTTGCTTAAGGACACTACAGTGGGCACTAGAGCCACTGCCTCCTTGTTACAGTGCCTCCCTGTATTGGGCAAAAAAATCACACACACAGCTGTATTTGGAAATAAGAGACTCTTCCTTGGGCTCATTTTGTCAAATAAAGTTCTTGTATTGAGCTTGTATTTTTGTGTATTTTGTGTTTTAAGTGGTATTTACTGTTTTGTAGAAGATGCAGTGACTGAGGAGCAGACAACGCCAAACCTTCGTGACTTTCTTTTGCAAGGATCTGATGAGGAGGACTGTGCTTTTGAATGGTCGAATTCTCATGTTAACTCTGAAGAAGAAATAATGGCCAATTTCTACAAAAAACTGTTGAATGTTGGGTATGCTTGGCTTTTTCTTGTTGATCTTTAGGATGTTCTTTTGTCTCTATATATTTAATTTCTTGTTTTGTTTTTATAGTGTATCTGCGTCATCTACAGTTCAAGACAGAAGAAGGGATAATATTAGCAGAAAGCCCATTGATTACTTTTCAAACTACTTCAGCTGGGATACATGGCGAGAAATTTCACATTGCACTAATAAGCTTAACAGTTTGTCCAGTCCTGTCACTGTTGAAGAAGTCGCCCAGTTTGTTGGCATCCACATTGCTATGGGAAGCTTGAAGGTTTGTGATATTCCCCTGTTGTCTCTTTGTTTTTGTATTTTTGCTATTTAATGATTTGCATGTTATTTTGTGTTTCAGTTTCCCAGTCCCTCGCTTTACTGGGAGGACTTAACTAAGGTCCCATTAGTTGCTGACGCTATGCCAATGCCCCGGTTTCTTGAGCTGTCTCGTCTACTGAAACTCACCTCTCCACAAGCCAATCAACACACCAGTACTAACAGTAGGAGAGATGGCATTACTGTTTTTTTAAACGATTCTAATAACCGGCGCCATGGTGAATTACAACATGGTAAAAAGATCACTTCTGACCCTCTCTGGAAAATTCAGCCTATACTGGAGCGTTTTGTGAAAGGCTGTGGTTCTCTGAGACGACAGGGAGATTATGCCATTGATCAGAATCCACTCCCACTAAGTACAGGGACCCACAATAACAAGCATTCACTTCATTGCACAACTATGGTCGATTTTGGTGGGATGGTTTTGGATCTTGATCTCAAATTGGATTTTTCGGACAAAGAGGGTGTGGTTGAGAAAATGCCCCCCAAAGGTAGCATGGTTTTCCTTTGTAAGCAGGAACTTTCCACACCTGCAATGCTGGAACGTCTTTTAGCGGCTGGTGTTCACAGTGCTGGCCAAGTAGGGGGAGCAAAAGGACAAATAGGAGATGAATTTGTAAGCTCAGATGGAAAACTGTTGCTGCGGAGATCACACTGTGGTTTCATTCTGTCTACTATAGGAAATGGCCAAAGAAACATTGCTTCTCTTATTGACAATTTTGAAAAGGCACACATATCGGTTCGCCTCAACAAAGATTTGCAAAATCTCTATTCTATTCCCCCTGCTGTATTTTCTCCAAGTTGCTGGCCTCAAACAGTGCTCTGGTACCTGACAGATCTGGCTTTGGTAAACTCCTGGCTGCTGTATCGACAGGATGCCAGAAATAATGACTCACCCTTAACTCTGCTTGCCTTCAGACTGGAAATTTCAAAAGCTTTGATCCTTGCCAGTGGTTTAGACACCCAGGAAGCACTTGCCAATCAAACAGAGGATGCCCATTCACCCGGTGATGCTCCAAACCCCAACCTACTACACGAAAGCCCTCTTCCTGATGCTGCCATACGCTTTGATGGTTCAGGACACTGGCCTGAGCAGCTCGCAGAGGGACAAGGTGGCAAGTGCCGTTTTGGCGACTGTCAGAGGACATCTCGAGTACTTTGTCTTAAATGCTGTGTATTCCTTTGTATTTCACGCAACCACAACTGCTTCATAAATTTTCACAGTCAAGGGCATCAAGCAAAAAAATAAGATCAAAAGATATCAACAGTGTTCAGTACAGTTTTGTTCATGATTTTCAAGGTGTCATTTCTTAATACTTTTTTGTATTTATTTTTGTATTTACTTTTATTTATAATGTGCAAATTGTATTGGGTAATTCCTTATGTAATTCCTTTTGCACAATAAAAATGTCTGCTTTTAAATGTATCTGTCACATTTAAATGTATAGTAAGTTAAAATTAAATAAATATTGTAGGATATAAAGTAGTTAAATGTGTACACAGTGAGCATCATGAGCGCACAGGAGGAGGTGTCCGCGGGGTCAGAGGTCAGAGCGGACGGTTCTCGTCACGCCAAAAGCCGGAAGTGAGGTTCAATCTGTGGCTTCTTCAGAGTAAACTCAGTCAAACTACATCTGTGAGCTGCTGAGCGCAAGCTAAATACGGTATTGTAAGATTTCACTCTTGAACCACATGGCATCGCAAAATTACACATAATTTAACATAAAATGCGGAGTAAGGGTAAAAATGAACCCAGTGATGATAAGCGCAAATTCTCTGTGATTAGCACTAGCTACAGCTAAATGCTAACATGTTGTGTTAGCCCGCGCAGCCGTGCAAGAGCCACTTCTTCAAGTTCTTATCAACTTTGCAGTTTTTTCTACATTTATATTTGATTTGTTGCTTGGCGGTCTTTAGATTTGCTCTCGATTGTACGACTATGTACAAATAATTGTAAATTGTAAAGACAATAGCAGTGGCGCGATCGTTAGCTTCCCCTTCGCTAACACTTTAGCTTTTGCTAATGGCCCTCTGCTGCAATGTAAAGTCAATGTTTGAGTTTATATATTAAAGTGTTAAGAATTGTTGCTTGAGAATTTAAATCACTAAATAGGCAATTAGCGTATGCAAGTTTAAACGGCACCGCTACTTATTAAATATTTCTGTTAAATGTCGCCATCTGTTGACTGTTTTAATTTAGCGGTTTTATCGTAAATTTGTTGGCAATATACATCAACAAAATAAAAATAAAACCATTATGAGTACATTGCAACACATTGCACACAAGGAGTAGTAGCGTTTATAATTGAGAACATAATCATCAGATGATTCATCAGTTGGGTCGTAACTTAATCTTTGTTTCTATGTTGTCTTACACTTTCTAGGTGTGTGGAGACTCTACAATGGACTCTGACATTTTGAACATTGAGGATATAGTGATGGGACGGGCATTGCCAGATCCACCTGTAGCAGAGCCACCCCCAAAACCTGCAGAACCAATCAAACCAAAACCTGCAACAAATGGACCCCCAGCACCAACTGTCACATCATGTGAGTATGATGGCATACAAAGGCAACTTTAACATATTCAGAAATAAATTGCAAAATACCTCAATGTTTTCTTGTGATTTATAGACCAGCATGAAAATCTGCAGTGTTTTCAGTGCTTCATCACTTTCTGTAGTGCCAAAGCCAAGGAAAGACACATGAAAAAGAGTCACAGAGAAGAGTACAAGCAAGTTCTGCAGCAGGTAATGCCATCCATCTGTCAAATGTGTCACTTTGGGGCGGTTTGTAGTTTATTATTATTACTCACAGTTTTTCTTGTTTTCAAAGGGAAACACTCTTTTCACATGCTATGTCTGTGATCGTACATTTTCGTCATCTGAGGAGCTGACACAACACCAGCCAACTCACAGCAAAGATGATAAGCCCTTCAAATGTGCCCACTGTAAAGAAAGCTTCAAAACCTTTTCAGAGGTGAGTCGTACAGAAGTGTATGTCTGGTTTTACTCTGTGAAGTGATAAGTTCAGACTTATTTTAGACACGGTTTAGTCAAAATTCTGGATGTCACATATTTATATATACTTTGCAGCTGATGTCATCAACATTCTCCGGGGTGTGATGCTAACTGTAGGGATGCTTTGTCTGAGGCTTTTTTATACTTAAATCTGCACTGTATTTTAACACAGTCTGACATAGAATTGACTTGGTCAGAAATACAACAGGTGCGATATGTGTTGTTAAACATATTCTGCCATATATTGAGGACACCCTCAGCGTGATATCATTGCAAAGTATCAATTAAACAGATGTTAAAAGTTTGAAAATGCTGATGTATTATGTACACATACTCACTTCTGACTTGTATTATTTTTCTAGTTAACAGTTCATAGAAGACAGCAGTGCCCGGAGAGACAGTTCCCCTGTAAAGATTGCAGTGAAACCTTCAGGAGTGCAGCTATGCTCCGCACTCATCGACTGGCTCAGCACCCGCGCCAAGAAGAGCCCACTGAGCTACAACCTGATGATGCAAACAAGGCTCCCACATGTAAGAAATGTGGTCAAAGCTTTGAATCAGAGACTGAATTTCTCTCCCACACTGAGGGCCCCGATGGACAGTGTAACGGTACAGCTCCAGTGAAAAAACGCCAGGCCAACAAGCGAAAGAAGAAAGACGAGGGTGAAGAATCTGAGGACCCAGAAAAAGCTCAGAGCACATCTGATTCAACCAGTGCTGTGGAGGAAAAGGGAAAACCAGGCGGCGCAAAGCGCGGCCGTCCTGCTAAAGCTGCAGCCAAGACAGAAGAAGAAAAACCTGCAGATGAAGATCAGGCAAAGGAGAAGAAGTCAAAAGCTGAGGCAGCTCCACCTCGTCAAGTGCCCTGTCCCGACTGTGACCTGACCTTCCCTGGTTTGATTCAGCTACGTGCCCACAAAAAGGAGAAGCACACCCAAAAGAAAGCTCATCCCTGTGAAGAATGTGAAGAGAGTTTTGCCCGTCAGGAGCAGCTGGATGCCCACATGTCCAGGGTACATGCTGTTGGCCGCTTCGCCTGTTCAACGTGTGGCAAAAGCTTTGGCCGTGAGCGTACGTTGAAAGCTCATGAAAAAACCCACACGGAGGAGGAAAACCAAGCAACAAAAAGATAATTGGAACGGTTTGTCTGGCTCCGAAGATTTTAGTCCCTATTGGTCTCTTCTTTTAACGTTGTAGTTTTGATCATGCATCACATGAATTGATGTGAGGAGACTGTTCTTTTAACTTGTTTTGAGGTGTTGATCATGAGCTGATATAGGATATACATTAGATTTGACTAACAAAATGTTGAAAAAAATGTTTCTCTAATTGTTAACATTTTTTAAATAACTTTTTTATCATTTCATTTTGTTTTAAATTGTGTATTGTGTGTGTTGTGTATTTTAACTTTGCTTGACTTTTCTTTTGTTTGCTTAAAAAATTATTTTGAAACTGTACAAAAAAAATTGTGAAACCGTTTAAGCATCTTATAATGAAGTGTTTTTGTACAACTTACAGTTTATATTGTACATTTTACCATTGATATTTGATTATCTTCATCTCTAAATTATGACACAAGTATAGATTTAAAAAAAAACAACTATTATTTTGATTATGTTTAAACGTAGTTTCAGCTAATCACTCCAGATGCAATGTGGAGTGTTTGGCTTGTGGGCAGATAGTTCCACTATGTGTTTTTTTTTTTTTTTTTTTTTGCTTTGTTTTATTTCTAAGAATTTGGATTGTAGTTTTTCATTATTTTTGGCTATTTAATGCTTTATAGTCTCATACCAACTGTATATAAGTAAATTGTTTTGACATCTGTCAGCATAGTTACAATGTAATAAAACATACTCTTGCAAGTGAAAACTAAGTTTGAGCATGGTGTTTTCATTATTGAACGATTTTACATATTTCATATCATACTTTTAATGTGACTAGTGCAAATAAACTATGATTACATACTCTTGCCAGGGTGGAGAAGTAAAAAAAAAAAAAAAAAGGTAGTCATTTTAAAAATATATTTACATTTCAATTGGCATTTAAGTCTTTGAATTTCCAAGGAGGTGTTTTGTGTGGCAAATCATGCCAACTGTTTTAAATGAAGTTTGTTTATTTTCATAATAGACAAGAAACGTCTGTCAAAATATTCATGCATTTCTACTCCTAATCGGTAGGGACGCTGTCATCATTCGTTACTTCCTGTCACTGTGGCACTGCATTTGTTTTCCCCCTCTAGTGCTGCGGCTTCATTTAGGTGAGTTCTGTAGATACGAGCAAAATGTAACTATATTGTTTTATTTTTGCACAATATTTTACTCTGTCCCCTGTCTGATTAATCACCAAATCGATGGTAATATTTACTCCGCAGTTTATTTAATATATTTTGTGATACAACAGTTCTTTGTCAGGTCAGCCGCTGCTCCTACCCAGCCCGCCGTGGCTCTTAATTGTGAAGTACGTAACAAGGCTAGCATTAAACACGGATTTCTATAGATGCATTCCCAAATTTGAAAGGTAAGACGGGTTTTGCAACGCCCAACTTTGTTTCCTTTATTTTACCACACTAATCGCCCATACAGTAAAGCCATAACCAACTATAGCCTGTGTATTGTTGTTTTCCTTATAGCAGCCATGTCAATTGAATACACTCTTGACATCCAGCTCACTGAGATGGGATTTCCAGACATCGTCCAACCACAAGAAGCGTCAGTCGCAGAGACCCCTCCAAACTCTTCTTCACCATCTAATGATTCTTCATCGCTAAACTGCACGTCCCAGAAGTCACTGCCAGGTCAACAAATACGGAAGCAGCCAGCAAAGGCAAAGAAAGCATGTGCAAAGAAAACAAGAGGTGCAACAGAGGAAATGGAGGAGGACTCAGATGACAGCGATGTTTCATATGTGGAAGAGGAGATTGAGGATGAAGATGACTTTTGTGAGGAGGAGGAGGAAGAAGAGGAGGAGGGCGATGAAGCAAATGGTATGGCTCTGTTTTATTTAAATAGGGCAATAAAGCATAAAAAAAATGACATTTTACTTTTACTACTTATCAATTATAAATATATTCTCATTGGTATGGAAGCTCATCCTGCTCAACAATATCTGAAGCAAAGTTCCTAGTCTATTTGACCTTATTTTTTAAAACATGGATTACAAATTACTTTTTTTCCCCTCTCTGTGGAAATGTTATTGCTTTATTAGACTTGGACTTAGACTTAGACAAACTTTATTGATCCACAAGGAAATTATATGGACACAATAAATCACACGTCACAATATAATATTGTAACAAAAAGCAGAAAATATAAATCATAATTACAAATTCAAAATACGTAGCAAAAAAGATGGCAATAAACAGGTGTCAAATAAGGCATAATTATATGTAGATAAATGTATATGTACAAGTCAAAATAAGTAATAAAATACAAAATCACAGCTTTATACAAGAGGTCATAGGAAGACAGTGCAACAATATGATGAGTGACAGGACATAGGTTATCTGTTACATAAGGATGAGTTGTTGTACAGTTTTAGGGAGTATTATGTGTTACATAAAGGTGACATATTACATATTATTGCTATTACATTACATATTATCGCATATTATTGAGAATTCTTGTCATTGTTTGTTTTCTACAACCTTACTTTTGACTGTACATAAATAATTATATACTATATACAGTTACTATATACATTTTCTATTTACAGTTATATGAACTATGAAATATACGTTTGTTTAAAATTGTTCTACTTTTTTAATTTTTTTTTTCTTCAGGAAACTTCCAATGTAATGTCTGCAACCTCCAGTTCACTACAAACTTTAAACTCCAAGATCACATGAACCTGCACACAGGAGCACGACCCTACTCCTGTGCTGAATGTGGGAAACGTTTTTCCCAGATCCGTAATTATCGAGATCACCTTCGTGCACACGCCAGACACAAAGCCAAGCCCAGGTGTCGCATTTGTCTAAAGCACTTTATTAATGAGGCTGATTTAAAATACCACCTGTCTATGAATCATTTTGAAGATACATTTTATGAATGTGATAGATGCAAACGCGTCTTTACCAACATGGAGTCTTGTCAACACCACATAGAGTTTACATGCATGCGTAAAGTTAAGTGTGAGAAATGTGGCCGCTTTTTTCCGAAAGAGAAACTACTTAGAAGGCATCTGGAGAGTAAAACCTGCTATAGTAAATTGAAGTGTGCAGATTGTCCAAAGATTTTTACCAAGAAAAATGCCCTGCTTAAGCACAGTTTCTCCCATTTGGGCCTATTGCCTTATACTTGTGTTAGGTGCAGGTGTCACTTCCGGCTTGCAAGGCTGTACCTTCGCCATCAGTGTAAGCCTCAAAGCATTCACTGTGTGGCTTGTCTGAGAGAGTTCCTCAATGATCAGGACTTCCAGCAGCACAAAAAAGACACTGGTTGTTGGGGCAATCAAGACCATAAAGGGGATGAAATCCGGTGTTTGGAGTGTGGGCAGAGGTTTGACACTAAAGATGATCTTAAAAAACACGCTGGTGCTCACCAGAGAGTGCTGAAGTGTGCAGAGTGTGGGAAGGGCTTCAGATCCGCCTTACTGTTGATGTCTCACATGGGCGGTCACGCTGGACAGTCTCCGTGTCTCTGCCAAAGCTGCGGACTGGGGTTTCCACACCAGCAGAGCTATGACAGCCACCTGAAGACCTGTGGACAAACATCTTCACTCACAGTGAGTAATAAGTGCTATGTGCCATAAAATAACTAAGACTACATGCAGTGGTGGTGTTACAGAAACTATAAGAAAAATATATATATAACTTACAACAACAAATGAAAAATGTATTGGATTAAATAATGGTCAGAAAGTATGTGTGCTGTGTATTGTAATTCTAACTGTGATGTGTTATTTCTTTCATTGTTTACAGAAATCATCAAAAAAGAATCCATCAACTAAAAAGCCAGAACAAACTTCAACCAGCACCAATTCTTCAGAAGCATCTAAATTACCCATATCAGCTTTAAAAAAGGTGATTACCACCTCAAAATCACCATCTTGCAGTAAAACAAACACAGAATCAGTGGTGCCTGTACCAAGTTCATCTGTTTCTACAGTGACCACGACCACGGCTCCAGATATCATCACTGGTCCGTGTGCAACAGTTGGGGGACCATCAAGCAGCTCTGCTTCTCCAAGTCTACAGACCATAGGTCAAAACAACAATCCAACTAATCCAATGCAAGTGGCACAAGAAGACCTTAATGACCCCACTAAAGGATGCTGGAAGCTCTCCCTTGACAAGCCCCCACCACCTGGAGTTAATCTTCTCTTGTTTTTACCTGTTGGTCAAACTCAAAACAGCAACTTATTGCTACCGTGCGCAGTTCCTCAGGTGGTGACTGTACCAGAGATCCAGGTTCAAAGTGCTCTAACACTAAATGGCATTGTCGGGGGAACATCAGTGAATACTCTGTCGGGAGCTACTTGTAAACAGGAAACAAACCCTGCACCTCTGGATTTGTCAAGTAAAACAGTTCCACAGAAGTCAACCCCAGAAAATGCACTCACAGTTTCAATAAAAACTGAGGCTGAGGAAGTAGAAGTGTCTACACCAATAAAAAGCAGTGAGGAAAACCACATGATTGACCCAGAAAAACCACTCTTTCGACATGAAAACAATTCTTCATCAAATAAGAAAAGACCTGCTGAAACATCTGCAGACGAAACACCAACATCACCCCTGGGTATTGATGGCTTACCTAAGAAAAAAATTAAAATTGAAACGGATTGTGAAGTTAAGACGGAATAATGAAGCTTGTCCATCTTTTATCATTTTGGTTCTACTGGGTATATTTTGATGCAGACAGTACATTCCAACCATGTTTGTTTCAAAAACTTTCCTTGAGAATTATGGGGCTGTGCTCAAACTGACTATGCAATCTACAATGCATGACATTTAAACATATTTTTAACTCTTGAATATTAATTTGGTTTAATGCACTGGATATGTGCCATTCTTTATGTAGCACTAATGCAATGTTTTTTTCTGTGTTTGTATTCTAAAGCAAATAATGGGTCTTTCATACCTGTATGCTGTACAGTGGAGATTAGTGAATAGGATTTTTGAATTGCATTTAGTTTACTTATTTATCTGGCGGACATTGGTATGTGATGACATTTAAATTAAAAATGAACAGGGGATGTCTTTGTGTTTTACTTGTCATTGTTTCTTAAGATGTTTAGAATTTCAAAATGTTCCTGAGTTTGTATAAAAAGACTACAACTCCTGTCACGTGATTAAAGAAATCCGGAAATGCATCAAAATCTGGCGCCGAGCTGCCTCAAACGCAGACAAAAGTAATGTGCAACAAACCCAACCTGTATGTTTTCCATACATTTAATAACATCTTCGTCTGCATGTTCTAATGACAATTTTTAATCCAAGGAGACGACGCTGATGTAATCTGATGTCATTATGGACAAATATAGATACGACTCTGTAAGTGTGCGAGCTTATTACAGGTTTTGGGGCCAAATTCTCTCAAATAATGGGTTAGCGACCTAGCTTGCAATCCGAGTAATAATATGTAGCGTTGTTCTCTATAACTTAGTTGAATCCACAAGGGTAAATCCGCTGTAATAACACTGCATGAGATTGAGCATTGCACGAAATATGTGAATTTGTGCAGGGCTGCTAACACGCCCACTTTTCCTCCGACCGTTTTGCAGCATGGACGATGCTCTTGGATGGAGATGAATCAGTTTATTGGCGAGCTCATGACAGCAGGAGGCTCCCTGGATCATCCCCGCAAGAGTCCGCTCGATGTGGTGAATGTGGCGTGGGGTGCGGCTGCAAGAGACGTCACAAAGTTCAAAGGTGTCGTCTTTGGGCCTCGAACTGAAGTCTGTAAAACTGAGCTGGAAATAGAGAGGTGTTTGGATCCTGGCTCTGAAAAGAAGACAAGAGGTGACTGTAGTAGTACTCCCGGTATAGGACGTATTATTACAATAACAATAATCTCTAACAATTGTAAGTAAAAAGTGCGTCAATAAACTTACCCACAGGGATAATAACAGCCTCTAGGCCAAGTTATAGATCAGATCTGTGGAAAAGGTTCCTCCATCACTGTTAGAATGGTTGTTCCTCTAAAAGTTATATCGAAGATCTCTTGGAAGGCTTCTAAAAGTTGTTTTAGCAATGAAGCATCTGGTTAAGGCATTTTAGATAAGTTACATGTCACACCAAACAATAACCTATCCATAAAGACTAGCAGGTGGCAGACCCCACTCCATCTCCACCAGAAAAGTTGACGTCTAAAGAATATGCTTATTTTACTAAAATGATACAATATATGGTGGTCCCCCATAGTATTATTTATTAGAAATTAGCAGAGGTGGAACCAAGTCTTTGTTTTGCAAGTCTCAAGTAAGTCTCAAGTCTTTGATCTCAAATCTGAGTCAAGTCCTAAGTCAAATACAGGCAAGTCCAAGTCAAGTCCAAGTCGACTGCTTTGAGCTTCAAGTCATTTCAAGTCTTTAAACTAAAGTACCAAATATAGGTTAGACTTTTGCAATTTATATTAATTTAAAGACAAATTGTACTTAAAAAGTCATGGTATATTTATATATGAGTTGTAGTTAAATTTTCCTTTTTAAATATCTTGACAAGATCTTAGAGTAAATCATTATGGTAGGAATAGAAAGAATTCAGATTTAAAAGTCCTTCGCAAGTCTTCTCAAGTCACAGGCCTCAAGTCCGAGTCAAGACCCAAGTCACTGACCTTCAAGTCGAGTCCCAAGTCTTACTCCATTTTGTCAAGTCTGAAGTCCTAAAAATAGTGACTCAAGTCTGACTCAAGTCCAAGTCACGACTTTCAAGTCCCCAACTCTGGAAATTAGAAATCTGAGTTGTTAATAAATCTCTGATATTGATTGTCCCAGTAGAAACTTGTGGTTAATGCTGCCATGACATAGTCTGCTAACTGTGAAATTTGCTATGTATTTGTTTAGATCTACATCGTGCCTGCACCTGTCCTGGCTGTCCATCCTCCAGTTCCTCTTTCCAGCCGTTTCAACCAAGACAATCTACATCACCTCCACCACGCACAGATACTAAAGACCTCAGCACTACCAGCTCCTGTTTACCTGACAGCACAGACAATTCAGAGCCCAGTAGCAACACGTCTGACTTAACAATTGCTGAAAGGCCCAGAGACAGTGAAGAAAGGCCTGAAGCACCTCTCTCCAGATCTACCTTCCCTCAGACCCCAATATATCCTTGTTTATGTTGCCAGCGAAGCCTTCAAACTTCTCAGCCAGATTTTCCCCTCTCCCATCACAACCCCCATCATCATCACTGCTCATCGGCATCGTGCGTGCCTTGTTCTCAACCCCACCCACACACATCTCCTCAGAACACATGCCCTTGCTACTCCTGTCAGCGACCCTCCCCTCCTTGCAGCCAGCCATGTCTACACAATCAACACAAACAAACACAGCAACAAGAGCCAAAACCAAATAATAATAATAATAGTAATAAGACTCCTATTCTGACTGTGCACCCCTGTATGCATTGCACTGCCTCTTTCTCAAGGCCGTCACAGCTGTTGCAACACCAGCGGTCGGAGCACGCAGACAAACCATCTGGGTTTCTTTGTACTGAATGCGGCCGGACATTTAACTCACACAGTAATCTTCGCATTCATCTAAATGTCCACACAGGTGCGAGGCCATATTCCTGCTCTGATTGTGGGAAGAGCTTTAGTCAGTCGGGTGCACTGAAGATACATAGGCGCATTCATACAGGAGAACGACCATATGCATGTGGTTTTTGTGGTCGGGGGTTCCCACATCTGGCGGGAGTCCGAGCTCACCAGAGAACACACACAGGTGAAAAACCGTACAGGTGTGTTCATTGTGGAAAATGTTTTACCCAATCAGGAGCACTCAAGATCCACACTCGAATCCACACAGGAGAGCGGCCTTTTGCTTGCAAAATCTGTGAAAAAAGCTTCTCCAACAGATCTGGAATACGCTTTCACTATCGGACTGTCCATGGTTTGATCCCTGAAAATCAAGATGAAGGCTCGGTGAGTCGGGGTTCACACCTGGGCAGGCCTAGGACTGTATCTTCTCCTAGTGTTCAAATAATCAACTCCTCACCTCTGAGTTCCAGCAAGATTGTTATGCCTCCAAATGTTTCGCCACAGAGAGGAGACCATGAGAAAAAGCCAGAGGCTGAGGTTGCTCTCTCAGATGACCATAGAATTCTTCTGCTTTATACATGTGAAGATTGTGGGCTGCGTTTCAAAGATGCTCCCTCTCGGAATAGACACCAGACTTTGGCTCACTATTTTTCTGATGGGAGGCTCGGTGAAGCAGGAAGCAAGGAAGTAAGCACAAATGAAGGCCAAGCATAAGAAGTGATTTTACTTCATGTAAAATTAAGTAAAATGAATTGTAAAGTTGCAAAAAAGTTTATTTATGGCAACTTGTATCCAGTCAGATAATGCACCATGAAAATTCAGTATATTACTTCTGACTCATGTCAGTTTTATTAGAAAACAGGTTAACAAGTTTGTACAAAAAGCACAAAAATTATAGTATTACATTGTTATGACATTGTAATGATCACCCTCCAATTCCAACGTTTGTATATTTCAATGTAACCAGTCTTAAATAAGCAAAATGTGCTTGATTTCATCAGTATTATTGACCATGTTAGAGTGCCATCTAATGGACAAAACTGATCATAGCAATATGTTCCTCAAACAGGGTTTGTTACTTGACATCTTTCACATTTTGTAAAATATTATATTGTGTGACTCCAGTGCAGCCACAGTTGTGATGAAAAGTAACATACATTTCCACATATCATTAAACATTGCAAATGGTCTTTGTATAAAAGTGCATGTGAAAAATAGTCAAATAAGTATCCATCAATAAAAAAAAGTATCTTCTGCAGGTATCTTCTAGGTTGCTATGGCTCTTTAGTCCTGTTGCACAGAAAACGTACAAAAATGCATTGCCACTGTCCAACGTGTCTTTAGTATTTGGCTATATTGCTTTCACTGAGCAGTACTGTCCACCACTTGAGGTCATTGTCCCTATCCATCTGCCCTAGCCCATTCTGTAGTTCAATTGAGTCCTTTCTCTTCAGTTCACAAAGGCTGCTCATATGTGTGCTTCTGTAGTAACGAGTCACAAGACTTGGGTTCTGCATAGAGCTCACTGACAAGGCCCGGGTCAGTCTTGTGTATGACAGGAGTGCAATAACCGTTGGATAACATCTTGTGTGAAGGGCAGTCGTAGTGAGCGGGATGGGATAAGGTGGTCCCTGAGGCTGGGGCTGGCACTGGGGCACTGTACGTGTTGGACTCCTGTAGCTGGTCCCCAAATGGTGTGGCATACTCAGGCTCTGGAGGAAGAGGCTCTGCATATTCAGGCATTTGACTTGGAGTGTCGTAAAGATTCAAGGCAAAGGGAGTGGTGTAGCCCTCATCTGACAACGGCCTAAAAGTCGACCCAACTTTCTGGCCTACAGGTTCTGCATAGTCTAGAAAAGATAAGCAACAACAAAATAAATCACACAAGATAATATTCATCCTGACTTTTCAAAACTCTTTAAAAAGTTACAGGACCTCATGCCCGCCCCAGTACCTAATGTCAGCAGGAAGTAACAGTAGCAGTAGTTTTCAATAAATGGTTATTAATGGCTAATTTACCCTATAACACTTTGCTACAACTATTAGGTACTCAAAACACTTACATCAAGGAGTCACTCACCCATATATGCGCACATTCAAAAAAGAGCAGACACAAAAACAGTGCACGGACAGACCATTAAAACTCAAAATTAGTATCACTAAAATGCATCTCTGATAGTGAGCTGGAAGAGCAGAACAGAACTTAATGTATATCGGCCATACAGACTTAACTCAGAAACTCAGAAAGTTTGTGACTTGTGATTGTGGCATAGAGTGTACAACACTTAAAAGCTTGGAATTTCAGTTTATGTCTGGTAAGATGAAGAGAATTGTGGCTGATATAGAACTCAATGAGCCCTTCATCGGAGTGTGCAGCAAGGCCTTGACCATATGCTATTTTTATTAGGTGGTCTTCAATTCAAGCCCTTGATTGTTTTACCCGTGACCCTATGTCCTATTTATCACTGGAGCTCTAAGTAGCTGGGGGAGGGGCTGGTGGAGGCAGAGGGGGACTGGTAGGGGTAGTGGGCCCTTTATCCCGCTACTATTAAAGGGGCTCTTTCAGACGAGCTCCGTGGACCAAAGAAAGGAATGTTTATACTGCAACTGGGTGATGGGCCCAGCCACGGAGAAGAATGGACTGCCTGCCGGGAACGCCGCTTGACTGTCAGGCCTGGCGTGAGCCTCTCAAACTGACCAGTCAAGCCTGAGGCACTAGTGGAGCGGGAAAGATGGAAACAGAGGAGGAGGGAGGGGTAGGCCTGTCACGAAAACACATTCTGAAGTACAGTATTTTGCTACAAAAAATACTGTGACAAAAGATAATGATCAAACTTTATACCATATACCATAGAAGTTATTCAATTACATCTCAAAACTTATTGCAAAAAAATAGAGAAATTTAGAAAACAACCAAAATCTACACACTAATGGAATGAAAGTATACATAAATATTGAGCCCCAGAATTGAACCATAAGTCAATAGTTATTATCATGACAGAGCTAGAGAGGGAAGAGTGAGTCCAGATAATTTGGGCTGAGCAAAATTAACCGGTTTTGATGAATCTTAGAAATGACAAAACAGTTACAGCAATTGACTGTTTGGATTGTAGAGTCTTACCATTAAGTGGAGGGTTAGGCAGAGCATCATGCACACTTCGCTCCAGCGGGTACGAGATAAACTCTGATGTTGGACATTGTAGCGCCTTTATCTGAAGCTTCTGACATTCCACTATGAAAGCAAATATAAGTCATACAAACATTCAAGAGGGATAAATAATAATACAATCATTCAAAGGGATAAATAATAAAAACAAATATAAGTATAGGACTTACTTGGCGGTAAAGAGTATTTCATTAGTGAAGCTTTTTTCCTGAAACAGATTAAAAATACAGAATGTACTGGTTGCACTTACTTTTACTTTTATGAATATTCGAGTTTCATAATATTTCTTTTTTAAATAATTATGTCTAATTTAATGTTATAAAATACATTTCTGTAAATAGTCAACACAAATCAGGCTGTAGATTTCAAAGTACTTTACTACTTAAACCACATAAACTGAATTGCCAAATTCAAGTTTCTTGGAAAATTTACAAAACATCCTCCAAATGCATGGATCTGACAGAGTTGCCAGAAAACTGATGGAGTTGACAAAAACCTGACAGGGTTGACAAATTGTGTAAAAATTGCAGAAAACTGAAAAAAAAAAAAAAAAAGGTTTTAATCCAGACAAAATAAATGGTACATGTTTAACATGACCATACTTTATTAAACGGACAATTATTTAACTTCCATCCCCCAAACTCACTATAGGAGAGAATATCAACTTCTCTCTCAATCCCCTGTCTCTCTTTATCCACCTCTACGTGTCCAGTGCTCCTCCCATGTTTTAATCCCCTTCTTCTCCCTCTCCTCTGCCCCTCTACAAGATTATTTTGTTATTAATGATTTTATATATTTTACTTTGCATTTGTTAAACATAGATGCAGCTAGTTTCTTGGAGCACCATTTGTGAGCTGCCATGATGATCTCCATCAAGGCTTATACTCTCCAGTTCTATTTAAATAAATGGATCAGAATGAACTGATGGAGTTGACACTTTCCAGCTGTGACAGCAGAAATTTCAACATATTTGGAAAAAGGTGGCTTGCCCTCTCCGGGTGGGTGGAGAGTCCCTGCCTCAAGTGGAGGAGTTAAAGTATCTCGGGGTCTTGTTCACGAGTGAGGGGAGGACAGAATGTGAGATTGACAGACGGATCGGTGCAGCTTTGGCAGTGATGCGGTCGCTGTATCGGACCGTTGTGGTGAAGCTCTCGATTTACCGGTCAGTCTTCGTTCCTACTCTCACCTATGGTCACAAGCTCTGGGTAGTGACCGAAAGGACAAGATCGCGGATACAAGCGCTCGAAATGAGTTTCCTCCATAGGGTGGCTGGGCGCTCCCTTAGAGATAGGGTGAGGAGCTCAGTCACACGGGAGGAGCTCGGAGTAGAGCCGCTGCTCCTCCACGTCGAGAGGAGCCAGTTGAGGTGGCTCGGGCATCTGTTCTGGATGCCTCCTGGACGCCTCCCTCGGGAGGTGCTCTGGGCATGTCCCACCGGGAGGAGGCCCCGGGGAAGACCCAGGACACGCTGGAGGGACTATGTCTCTCGGCTGGCCTGGGAACGCCTCGGGGTTCCCCTGGAGGAGCTGGAGGACGTGTCTGGGGTGAAGGAAGTCTGGGAGTCCCTGCTTAGGCTGCTGCCTCCGCGACCCGGCCCCGGATAAGTGGACGAAAATGGATGGATGGATGGTTTTAAATATCAAAAAGCATAAGCAAAGCATCTTTTCACATTTTACCGAAGGCATTTTTTGAGTATTTTAGGCCTTTTAATATAATCTAATGCAATTTTGTATACATAAATAGAGGTTTTTAACTGTTTTTTTTTTACCTAACAAATGGCTGTCATAGCATGTAGGCTTACAAAACACTACCTATTCTAATCAAATACTTTTTAAATAAACAAGGTACCTTTGCTTCCACCAGACTCCTCCCATCAGACAACTGCCACACATTATCAGTCCAAGGACCACTCCCACTGCCACTATAACCGGCTGGCTGGAGCCTACAGAGGAGCGTGAAAGTAAACATTTGTACAAATGTGGGAAAAGAATGTAGTTTATTTGCAGTGTGTACACTAACAAACACTCGAATCTCAAGGTTGTGCAAGTCTACCTGTTACATTGACCCTGTTCACATGCACACCAAAATCTGATTAGAATCTGATTTCTGGACATTTAATATTACTTATGTGTATGTAATGTAAAGTGCAAAATCTAATGTGAGTATTGAGAAGGACCATGATCAAAAAGAACTTAGATGATTTCATGTCATTTAAATAATCTTAAAACTCCCAAAACTTATACTAGATTTTGAGTGTGTGTAACTGCAGCCAGTGTACACATGGGCTGATAGGAAAGTGCCTTACTTAGTCTAGTTTCGATTAATACTGGGCCTTCAGTGGAGTTGGGATTACTGCTTGGAGGCAGTGTAACAATGTGGACTTTCACAGATGTAGACTCTGAAACATAAAAAATTTAAAAACATGTTCATTGTTTAGTACAGAAAAATATATTTATGTAATATATGGAACATTTCTAGTTAAGGGTTTGCCGACTGCTTGTCTCCATGAAAATCTTTATGCATTGCCTGGAATGGCATCAAACTTGTATATCTCCATGGAGTCAAGCAGGTGATGCAAGCAGGCCAAGTTACAGGT